TTTCGAAATCAGTTCCAACATATTTTTTATAAACTCACCTTGGATATTGTCCATTCCGGGGGGATTTGTTATTCCTCCCGGAATGGAAATATTATTGTGATCGAATGGCTCGTTGGGTGTCTTTCAGAGTGGAATTCAAAACCTTATTATACTTTCCAGCAAGACTCTGGAAGTAGGTTTGTTCGTACTGAGCCGTTAAGGTGTTCACGGTGTCCATCCTTACATCTACATGCCGTGGTTCTGGGTTTGAATTCTTTACGAACCTGTAAAAGTTAGTAGTTTCATGTTGCGTGTAACTGGATGCCCGATGCAATCTCACGCAGATTTTGTTCTTCATATAGTCTTTTGTGTTTTTCTCGTCTTCTGCGCATATACTCTTCTTTTCGTCCGCGGGTGTATTTCTGTTGCATTAACCTGTATGCTTCATTTTTCTCATTAATGGCTTTCTGACATTCATCATCAAACCAATCGTTGCGCTTTGATTTTTCTTCAAATCGTAATTCTTTAGTGCGGGTGCCACTTTTGAGCTCAAGACCTAGCTCCGTTTATTTTCAGGTATCGTCGCTTTCGAGTTAAAACCAGTTTTTAGACGCCGGTTGCTTGCCCTTGCCCTTTGTCCTTATCTTGTGCGCTTTGTAAAAGGGATGGTACTCGTACTTTGCGAACTGGCGCAGAAGTTCCCAGGGGGTACGGCGGGGACGTGGACAGATCGGACTTCTTGGTACCTGCATTCTTGTGTACCACCATCAGAACACTGCAGTTGAAGGACAGGCTTTTTATAGACGTTCTTAAGCTCGAATCTTAGACACCCCACCCAAGAGTTTAATCGGTTATTTGGAATTCATCCGCTACGCCGCTGCGTTCAATTTTAGGAGTTTAGCAGCTCATTAGAAAATTATTGAAATCTATTGGATACTTGATGCAAAGTACTGGTATAAGTATAAATTATTGAAAGGCCGTGGTAAGTTTTGAGTACTAGTATCGAATTTAAAATTGCGATATGAGTAAAGTATCGGATTCGATATCGTGTCCCTAATCAGCGGGTTGCCATTGAATATTTTAGGTTACGGATCTTATTTGAGCGTTCAGTTCTGAAGCAATAACAACTCAAATGTATTTAGCCAGAGGCGGATTAAACGTTGAGAGCGCTGTAGGCAAGCATCTCATCGGCGCCCCTACATTAAAGCTGTAAGGTACGACTGGCATGTAAACTCCAAAATCATGAAATTCCCAATATAATAATTTCTGGCTTTACACGCCAGTCGAACTCTTTAGTGTAAATAACAAGTTTTAAATATTTTTTTCTCGAAAACTATAACTAACTAACATAAGGCCGTTTGAAAATACGTACTCTTTGAGTCTATTTAATCGAGCCGCTCGTAGACCTTCCCCAAACAATTGAGGAGGCTGATAGGTCGACTAGACAGCTTATTAGCGGGCTTTGATTTTTTTTTTACCTTTATTACCAAGCAATTGAGGAAGCTGCTAGGTCGGTAGCTGACTTTCGAATGTCAATGACGGTGGCCTCTTTCCGTCGTCCGGGAAGGAGTAGCTGGAGAGAAGTGTGTTGAAAATGGTCGCCAGTATACAGATAAGCGGCTTAGGGAGAGATTTTAAGACTTTATTACTAATTTTATCTGGCCCTGGGGCGGATGGACTTTTCGGGGGGTCACTGAGGTTAAAGTTTCGCCTACTGGTGGTAGCGCAGCCCCAATTTCGATTACGCTCGTACATTGCTGCTCTAGGTTGTCCGCAAGACATTCGACTTTTTCAGTTTTCTAGGGCTAGTGAAGATCGGATAAACTTTGTGGTTGTTTACAACTAGTAGGAATTTCATATTGCATAGGGTCGACAGTAGAATTTAATTGCCTTAGAAAATTCAAAATCATCACATTTTAATGTTGAAAAAAAACTAAATTCGATAACGCGATCTACCACCGTTATGTGGGCTGTATCGATGTGTTCGTAGTGCTGCTCTAGCTTGTCCGCAAGGAATTAGGCTTTTCAGAGTCAGAGGCTAGTGAAGCGCTATTAGGTATTACTAATGGCGATAGGGCTCTGCTTTCAAACTACGGGCCAACCGCCAGTAGGCGGTGTACGATGGCTGAATGTCTTTTAGTTCGAGATCGGTTCGATTCTGGCGTTTTTATTGTTTGCGTTCTTGCTGCGGTGTCATGTGTGTATTTAATTAGTCTATTAAGTTTTTGTGTATTATTTAAAGAATCAGTAAATTAAGAAAAAACCTAGTGGTGCAGAATATAAAAGCAAAACTAAGGCGAAAAGTATTATAATGTAATAAATCAAACGAAAAACATGGAGAGTTTTTTTTTCAACATTAAAATGTGATGATTTTGAATTTTCTAAGGCAATTAAATTCTACTGTCGACCCTATGTAATATGAAATTCCTACTAGTTGTAAACAACCACAAAGTTTATCCGATCTTCACTAGCCCTAGAAAACTGAAAAAGTCGAATGTCTTGCGGACAACCTAGAGCAGCAATGTACGAGCGTAATCGAAATTAGGGCTGCGCTACCACCAGTAGGCGAAACTATAACCTCAGTGACCCCCCGAAAAGTCCATCCGCCCCAGGGCCAGAAAAAATTAGTAATAAAGTATTCAAATCGCTACCTGGGCCGCTTATCAGCACACTGTTGACCATTTTCAACACAGTTCTCTCCAGCTGCTCCTTCTCGGACGACGGAAAGAGGCCACCGTCATCCGCATTCAAAAGCCAGCTACCGCTACCTAGCAGCTTCCTCAATTGCTTGGCAATAAAGGTAAAAAAAATAAAAGCCGAAGAAACCCGCCAATAAGCCCTCTAGTCGACCTACCAGCCTCCTCAATTGTTTGGGGTCGGTCTACGAGCGGCTCACTTAAATAGACTTAAAGAGTACGTATTTTCAAACGGCCTTATGTCAGTTGAGCAATTTGACTTTCGAGCTGGACACTCCTGTCCTGACCAATTATACCGCTTAACAGCACATTTTGAAGGGCCTCAATCACCCCAAACACTTAAGCACGGGAGCTCTTTTCTTCGATGTCATAAAAGCATTCGATAAGGTCTGGCACAACGGCTTGCTTAACAAGCTGTTCGCACTCAACGTGGCAGACAGACTCGTGCACACCATCAGAGCCTTCCTGTTGAATCGCTCCTTTCGATACTGAATAGAGGATTATGTAAGGCCTGCGTAGGACCTATTTTGTTCTACGCGTGCATAACCTACACCCACACAAACTCTACTGCTTGTACAAGTTGCAAGTAGTGCAAAATAAGTTCACAAGGTACACCCGCGTTCCGGGGCGGTTCTCACTGCCCCCAGCCATCGACTGATCAAGCACAGTCAACGGCCCGTAGGCGACATGCCATTATTAACGCACGCATGAGTACATGTGCCGCCCTACCCGCTGAGGAGGGCCTCAAACGTTTGGGTTCTGGCTAGCCCACCGGTTCTGGTTTCGATGAAGCTTTAATAGTCTAAAGTCTGAAAGCGTAACAACCAAAAAAATACAAAAAATAAAAGCGTACGTAACCAAGACAAAAAAGACAAAAAAGCAATTCGCCACAATTTTAGAAACAGGGACGTCGGATTCCGATAGTCACAAGTCGTGATCGACGCGACGTGTATTGTAGTCGTATCTTTCCTACTTCAATTAGAGATTATATACCATCAACAAGATTGTTTGTAGACGCAAGTTTTATTCAGTCCCATCCGCTAAGTCTTCTCCTCTCATCTTTTGTTATAAATTGAAGCAAATTGAGGTTCTAAGCAAAAATAAAAGATAGACAGGCTCAACAGAATTTAGTAATAGTTGTTTGATTGACATGAAAATGCTGAACGACAATTTAAAAAAGTTACATAGGTGGTTAAATGATGATATTTTATAGGACGCCAAATAATTTTTTTATGAAAACTCGATATTATATATATTTACATTTAATTATTGAGAATTTGATTATAATTAAATTTTTGTTAATTTTATTTACATATTAAATTAATTATTATTTATAAATTAACATAATATGTAGTGTAATATTAATGATTTGTAACACATTTCATTTTTATCTTTTACGGCTTTGAATCAGTTTGAATAATAATATCGTTTTTGATACGATTTCGATATTAAATTTTTTATATCGACATATCGGATTTGATTTGTTGAAAAAAAAGATCCGAAAATTGTTAATTGTTTGTTAACTTTAGGGTCTCGCACTGATGGTTCAATAGGTAACAATAATTATTATTTTCATGGTATGGGCTTAAAGTTCTTGTGACTAGGCAAATTACCAACCCGACACAAACGCGAACGTCAACAAGCGTCGCCCGCGAAACGTCCTACCCGGTCAAAAACATCAGTTTAATAAAAAAAAAAATAAGTGACTAGGCCATATAATCTTCATTTAAAAAAATATATAATCGTGCACGCATCTAGTAACTAAACACCGAACCAGAGTGGCGTTAAAAAAATATATTGAATTTGACACGAATTCGATATTCAAAAATTAATATCGAATATCGATATATCGGGGATAAAAATATCGACGATGAATATCGATATTTATTTGGAAAAATATCTCTATTTTTATATATCGATATTTTTAGCCCATGCCTATTAAAAGTACAATTCTACATACTTATATATGATTCTACATCTTGATGTGTATTCTGTTCTGATTTCTGTTGTCTTCATTTCTTCAGTGACTAAATTCTGTGAATAATTTCAATTACTAATTAGCTAAATAGGTATTTATTTGTCTTATTTTTTAACAATCAATTTAGTTTCAAAGTCAATTTCCACTAATTTGAGATGTCTTTTTTTTAGTGTCTTGCCGCATTTTAGAGGAACTTTTTATAATGTCAGAAAAACATTTGCAAACTGGTACGTAAAATAAGGAACTAAAAGAAATTTATTGGTACTGTTATGGTTCTTACAATACACTTTTTATAACATTCAGGTGATGAGTTGCCGGCATTCAGTGGTAAACCTCGTTTGTTTGCCATGAGATTTTGCCCGTATGCGGAAAGAAGTATTTTGGTTTTAAATGCTAAGAAAATAGAATATGATTTCCTATTTATCAACCTGGACCAGAAACCTCAATGGATTTTCAATTTTAGCCCCAAAGGTAACTATGCCTAAATTATATTTGTCCTACCATGCTTAGCCATGGCTATTTGTATGGCAGTATATTAACAGCACGCTCGTTTTTTATATGCAGATATTTTAAATTTATAGACATACATAATCAAAACAATAATTACAAAGTAAAAATTGTTGTTGACATTGAAATGTTGAGAGAAAAAATCTTAAACTTAGCAATCTCCCCGTTTTGCGGGGTATCTTTATACAATATACTCCTAACCTATCAGTGTGTAATAAATGAATGATTGCCTAATTTATCCCTGTAATTTTTTTTCTTAAAATGTCAATTTTGGTGACAATTTTACGTAATGACTATGTAATTATTGTATTGTTTATGTTTCTCTACCAATTCAATTATTTGTATAAGAAAAACAAGTATCCTGCAAATGTAAACAATTACCATCAGTAGTTAGTATATTCTTAAGGTCATGTACTTTTTTACAAATGATATGCAGAATTTTAAAATTTAAAATCATCCTGCAAATAACATGTTTATAAACTGATATCCCTATCAATGTTACTCAACTTGAGGTTTTGAGATAAGTATTGTGATATAGATGGTTCATATACAACATTAAATTTTATCTTTACCTAAGTATTTCAATATACGGGTAGTTGGAAATGTTTATATTTTTAATTCAACTGTATCATTATGCACACTATTAAAACTTCATGATGATAAAAAGATTTATAAGAATATATTATTGTGTCAGTAACTTAATTGGAAAACACAAAATTGGCAATGAATCAATTTGTGTTCTAGTGAGTATCTTATAGAGGACAGCTGAGATGGTTCTTCTTATAATAATAAGATGTATTTATAAGTTATAACAGCACAGCATACCTTTTAAATGCCAACATACAAAACTTGAAAAAAAATTTTTACCATATATATATAGGGTTTTTGGTTTGTTTCTAAAGGCACGGTACCTGCATTGGAATACGAGCAAGGAAAGGGAATTTTTGACAGCAACATTATAAATGTTTATTTGGATGAAACATATCCTGATGTGCCATTACAATCTGCAGACCCACTTCGTAGAGCTCAAGATAAAATGCTTGTAGAACAATTTGCAGGGGTATGAAATTATACAATTATTTCTAAGAGTATCTGTTGACTTCTTGCACATTAGCACAGATCTTCACTCTAACTAGATGTTGGTTGTCTTAAACTACAACGGTCAATATGAGGATCAGTCACAAATTGGTTATTGGTTCTAGAAGCTATATGGTCAGCTCATTGCCACTTCAGCTCACCAATCTTCTGACCTATGTGGGTTAAGTTTGTTCTACTGCAGATATCTGTATTGAAAACTATCACACAGAGAAATACTGAGCATAGCCCACTCCTTAGCTTGCACAACGGTTTAGTGCATCCTCATACGGCAGTGAAGGACCTAGTGACAGTTCGGTAGGTCATCACTGGCAACACACTTGGATTGAACCAGACCAGAACAGCCCTGCCCATTCATGTAACAGAGAACTGTTCTCTGTTACATGAATGGGCAGGTCCTTCCAGGGAGGTACCACAACCTCACAGAAGACCAGCGTGAATTGGTAGTGTTACACTTCTATGTTTCGTCTGGTGAGTGAGGTAGTCATGGCCCACTTGATTATAACTGCGACCCTATGGATGTTGCAAATGTTAGTGGTGGCATTCATAAAAAAGACGCTCGGTAACCCGGCCCCAGAATTTTTTTGTCTTCCGACCAGAGCACCGAGAGCAACTCTGCATATACGCTCACCCGCCAGTGTTCCGGCAGTCGGCAGTGAAAATGCCAAATAATTTAGTCTGTCACTGTAGTACACATAATTCAATACTCCAATATTAAATTTGTATAGAATGTGAATATTTATTTATAACTATAATTCTACGTTACATTTAATAGATACAATGAATGTTTTAGTTTGTAAATTTAACATCAAATTTCATCCAAAAACCAGGTCACCAGTTATAGTATGTAGTCATATACATATTTACTTTTAGTTATTGAAGCAAAATTTTTTTAGGCGCAATCCGCATATTATACAGCTGCATTTAATGCCCCAGCCCTTCAGCCAGCCATGATAGAAACCTATCATAAAGGCCTTGAAATTCTACAAAAAGAAATTGAGTCTCGTGGTACTACATTTTTACATGGAGGTGCACCGGGCTTGGTGGATTATACAATCTGGCCATTCCTGGAACGTTTCCTGGCTTTGCCTTTACTAGGCAAAAATGAATTTGCAATTGATAAGACAAAATATGAAGTATTGGTAAGGATTTTTTTCAACACGTTCTTACAATTTTTTAACACATGAAACAACACACGCCTAGTTTCTGAAACACTGATCATCATAGAAGTCAACTAATCAGCTGTCAAATGGCTTTTCAAATGTTATTTAATTTGCCAAAAAGATTGTTAAACTCTTTGAATTGATCATTCTGATCATTAAGAAGATCGTTCTGATCAATTCAGAGTTTATATAGGAGTTTATATAGTCTGTCCCATGATATCGGGAATTTAAAAATCTAATTAAACGCGATGAAATCCGTAAAATAGTTTCATTTCACAAAGTTTATCACTATTCAGTTTATTCAGTAGGTTCATCATTTGCAATAAAATTTATTTAAACTATTTTAATTTTTATAGATAAACTACATAGAAGCAATGAAAAATGTGCCTGCAATTAAATCATATTGTCTAGCACCAGAGACTCATGCTAAATATATTGAGTCGCGTGCAAAAGGCAACCCAGATTACAACATGCTTGACACCAGTTCAGTTTGCTGCATGCGTCCCAGGAAGAAGAAAGAATAGTAGCCGCTTTTATTCTTAAAATAGTTCAAACATCTAAATTGGGCTATTTTCATAATGAGATGGAGTAAATAAATTTTTCAATTGCACTCAGATATGATGTGAATTTTATTACTTTATAAAATTTCTATTACTAAAATACAATTATATTGTTCACTATCGCTTATTATACTTTGATTTGTCCAAATAAAAGTATTAAAATGTATAATGCTTTTTTGTGACTCCCATTATTTTTTGGCTTTAATAGATTTATTTTCACTTTAATCAATTTTAATTAAAATTTCAACGAAACTAATTTTCCTTATACATCAAAATTCTTCATGTGTTTTGAGCAAACAAGAAATATATTCAATGGTATTAAATACAATATGACGAAAATGTAAATAAAAGTAATGCAATATGATTTATTATATTATAAACTAGCGACCCCTCCCTGGTTTGGCACAGGATTAATGTATTATAGGGTGCAGTGGGGCAATTCCGAAAACTACCCGTTTTCGGAATTGCCCCGTTTATTATTCCGAAATCGTAAAATTTCTATTAATTATAATTATAACTACTAGCAACGTTAGGCTAGACAGCATATTTAATAACCACGCCGTCTCAGTCGTAGCAAGTCGCTAGTGCCAATATTATGTGTGTGACAGCAAGTTTTCTTGGACAAGTATTTTTCGCATCATTTTTCGTGATTCATTATAACCCCAATAAATTTATTTCGCAATTTTGGTAAGTTACATGAACAAGTTTTCCTTTTAACCATAGATTATCGTATTTTGTGTTTATGTACGAGGAACAAAACATTCTAATTGTTATTAATTTTTTTTTTTTCGGAAATACCCTTCCGAGTTTATTCCGATATATTATATTTTCCTTATAACCCCATTTAGCTTTCACATAGTAATTAGCAGTGGTTCTCAAACTTATTTTTATGTATTTGCATTATTAACAAATTTGTTTTACCTATCTATCATGTCCCGAAATTACATAAGAAAGAAAATTAAAAAATACACTTCACAAGATTTGGCTCAAGCGATCAGCGATTCAGCGGAATTACCCCACTGCACTCTACATATTAATCTTCCTCTTGAATCACTATCTCGTAAAAAAAAACCGCATCAAGATCCGTTGCGTAGTTTTAAAAATCTAAGCATACAAAGGGCAGACAGACAGCGAGACGACTTTGTTTTGTATTATGTAGTGATATAAAAAAACTTGCTATATATTGCCTAGTAAAATCTATACTTATACTAGCTGACCCGGCAAACATTGTTTTGCCATATAAATTAATTGTAGGGTAGAAAATAAATTTAGGGGTGGACCACCCTTAACTTTTAGGGGGATGAAAAATAGATGTCCGATTCTCCACCCTGGCCGATAAGCTCACAAAATTTCACGAAAATCGGTCGGGCCGTTTCGGAGGAGTTCAATTCCAAAACCGTGACACGAGAATTTTATATATTAGAATTTAATTGAAATCGCTTTAAGGTGTAATATAAATCTAGTCCTAACAATTTATTGTTGTTATCTAGCAATAAGTAGTATCGAAAAAAGATGTAGAAAATAATATTAACATCTTTACTGTACGGCCTAGTATAAACTTACGATCCTAGATTCAATGGCATATTATACTAGTATTTAGTAGTATAAAATATCATTGGCTAGATTAGTCATTGTAGACGTCGTGTACGACAAGATTATGTACAATAATCAAGTGTTTAATTTACGCAACAGCTACACACACAACATGACTAGCATATTTAATCAAAGTCGGATGTTGCTTACTTTGTTTTTTTTTTATACAATTATGATAACTAGTACGTTATGCTCTGTCATACATATAATGATATCATCATATAGAGTCTTGCAACCATTAAGGCAGGTTTTCGAGTACGTCTTGCCTCTAACTTACAGAAATATGACAAACAAAGCAATTCAACACAGCATTAATTTCAATGGTAAACATTTAAAAAAAGGTAAGTATTAAGTAATCTTTAGTTCGTATTATTAAAGCCCATGTTAATTATTGCATAGGTTAGGAATTAAATCTGGTTTATAATAATTTTTATTGTATTTCTAAAATAAGTACTTATCATAACAATATTTATGTAGTACTTACCTATTTTTATTAGTGACTCAAATCTAAATAGTAAATAACCTGAGTACAGACTATTTTTTTAAGTTATTTGTTTTAAGCTTAAAAGAATAACCTATAATTATAGACTGGTTAATCTTATATCAACTATTGTTAGTGAAAAAAATTACATTACAGGTGACCCACTGCCACCCTACAATGGAAAACTTAGAGTATACAGTTCGCGTGTATGTCCCTTCGCACAGCGAACTATACTCGCACTCTTGGCCAAAAACGTTGACTTTGAGGTAGTTAATGTCCACCTAGCAGATAAACCCGAATGGCTAGTTCGCAAAAGCGCATTTGGTAAACACTTTTTTTAACTTTTGCTGGAAAACTCATTATATAGGTACCCCGTTGTAACAATGATGATCCTATTAATGTCTATGACAGTATGTATAAACGTAGTGGTTATATTTCTCTTTGGTATAAGAGTTCGTCACTGGCAGGGGTAGTATTAACTAGCAGAGTCAGAGACGTTGTTGATGGCGTAGCGAGTTATGGTCCCGTAGAAATACCAGACCACTACTCTAAAAATTTGGATGTCCATTAATGTAATAGGTACATTAATGATCGAAATTCGAAGTATTTTGGCCGACCGTAATGCAATCTTCCTAAGTTTCATAAAAAAATGCAATAAATAAAAAAATTGTGATTAGCCGAATATAGATTGAAATGCAGTCCTGATTAATGCATGAGAAAGTAATTTAAAATATTAAAATATATAATTAACTATTCCTTACAGAGGGATTTTGGTGAAGTCCACCTAGGTTTAGATATTTTGTTACTCTGTAATAGTAAATTTTTCATAATAGCATATGCTTTCTCTATAAGTATTTAATTCTAGTTCTAGGCTTTTTCCTATGATGTGTGTATAAATAGGAACTTTTACAGCTTTCGCCAGTCAGAAATGATATGGACAGTAAAAATATAATTAACCTAGGCCTATTCAATGAAATACTGATAAAACTTTTGTTAGTTTCTATTAACGTAGACGTATTTTTCTTATTCATAATGACGAGGAAACAAAATGCATTTTATAACTAGGTATTTCTACTTTGTTTCGGTGATTTGTCTTAGCATTTTATTCACAAGATGGACAAAGGTTTTTCGCAAATATTTAAATTTACATGTATTTATATCGATCGTTTTATTTATTTCTTCAGGAAAAGTACCATCTATAGAAATAAAAGAGGATGTATGCATTTATGAAAGTTTGATAACGGTAGAGTATTTGGACGATGTCTATCCTCAAAGGCTTTTGTTAGCTAAGGACCCAATAACTAAGGCTTATGATAAGATAATCGCAGAAACGTCTGGAACCGTAAATATTACAACTTCGCTAGAAACTTTTGCTTAATATATCGAAATTTAATACTTTAACAATGAGCTAAATGTGCTAAGTATATAAAATGTTTACTTACAGTTACATACAATGTTCTTCAAGTTTATTAAGGATCCTGAAGCAATTACGGAAGAAAATATCGTTTCTTATAAGAAAACGCTACATTTTCTTCAAGATCAGTTAAAGAAAAGAAAAAGTAAATTTTTTGGTGGAAATGAACCTGGTTACGCCGACTACATGGTCTGGCCATGGTTTGAAAGATTACTTATATGTCAAGAAAAAAGTGATATTTTAAAGTTAGATGACATGGAGTTTGAACTTCTAGTAAGTACTATTGTAAGAGCGTAAGTGTTAGTATTTAGATAATATTGATCCAATTGTTTTAAGTAACAATTAATATTTTTTAGAATGAATATATAAGCAATATGTTGAATGATCCAGCTGTAAGCCAATATTTAGTACCCAAGGATGTATATATAAAACTTTTTGAAAGCTACAGTCTTGGAAAAGTGCCGAACTACGATTTACTGAGTGAATAAATGTAAAATGTATTCAAGGTATTTTTTACATAATAAAAGCCTGTTATAATTTGGTGTTTTATTTCGTCGACGTAAATTTATTTTGAAAGAAAAATTGTACTGATTAATAGTTTATTTTTTTTTAAGAAATAGAAAGTGCAATTCACAAATTATTTTAGTTCTGGTTATCCTTATACAGGCAAGTTAAATATTAGGAATATAACAATGATGGAGAAAACATTAAATAAATAAAAGGTCTTATAGAAAAAAGGCTGATTGAATTTTTTTATGAAAACTTAAGAAGAAAAAAAAAAGATCTATTGTGAAATGGTTTCATAATACATTATAATCATATTACATTGAGCAATGAATGTTCTATGAAACATTATATTTATTGAATACTGAAAACATGTCAAACAAAATATTCTTAAGAAAAATCATAATGTCAAACTAAACCTATACATACAACCTATACCTATGTGTAATAAGTCAAAAATAATCAAAATATGTGGGTACATACAATTTATCATTGGCTATTTAAACATAGACAAGTCAATTTGAATGTCTTGATTAAACTAATTAGTTTTGTATTTTGCAGCTACGACTTCTAGTTTAGAAGTAATTTGTTTTAAATCAGTAGATTTGTCTATTTTAATATAAGTAGCATTTCTGATTTCATGAAATTTAATCCACTCTGGTACTTCTTCACTAAGCAAGTTTAAATCTCTTTGTAGGTCACATGCGGAGACATTTGCTTTAAAACTACTGTCTAATTTAGACAGAATTATATTAAGAGCTAGTACGTTCTTCCTTTCAGTTACAAATATATTTCTTAATGTCCTTGCAAGGTCTGGCAGACGGCTGTATATGAAATATTTTTGTTCATACTCTGAGGACTTAGTCATAGCTTCTAGTGCTTTAGCTGCTTGTTTTGCTTTAACCTTCTCTAGTAGAGCTGTAGGCAAGTTTCGCAGGGCTGGGTTTAGAATAGTAATAGATGCTGCAGTTGTATTAGTTTGTGTTGAAGCAGAAGATACTAGTCCCAATTTTTGTCTTTCCTCATTAATACCAGTCACAGCCTGTTCTTCTGCTGTGAGGCCTCGCTCTTTAACCTGAGCCAACTTTTCCAATGCCCGTTCCATTTTTGTGTTGCATTTAAAAAGCTCACGAGCTTTTGCCAGAACATCCTGCGCTGTATTCAGCTTTTCTACATTTGGCATTTCAGGCAATTTAGCACATTCAATTTCAGGTACCTTTTCCAGCTCGAACTCTGGATGCCAACGCACCAATTTGCTATCAGGTATGTCCATTGGAGGATCCAAGGATGCCAAGTACTGCGAATGATGTTTTTTAACTAGTTGCAGCAATGTGTCATAAAAATATCTGCGTCTTTCTAAAAGGACACTAGGATTCATAATCTTGATATCGTTCGGGAAATTTGGAGCTATAACTAGTTCGTAAGCTTCTTTTTGAGATGAAGTGCTGAAATTCTTAATTTTTTGTATATCATAATTGTAGAAGTCTGGTACCAATTGTTTTATTTGAGCTAGATGCTTTTCTGTGAATGTCCTTTTAAGCATTTCTTGAATGGAAGGTTTAAGTTTACTAAAAGTGATTTTTTCATTTCTATTGTATAAAAGAGCCACCACTGTTTCCATTCCTCTAAAAAGTTCTGCGAGAAATCTATAATGGTGAGGAAGAGACAGACTTGTAGGTGAGGCCAATGCTGCATGTCTAATGTATGCTGGGACCTAAAAATTAAAACATTTATTGAGGAAATAAATTACAAAAAAACATTCAACATATTACATTCAAAAATAAAAAAATGTTATTTTTACCTTGTTGGGACTTTTTACAGGGCTGACAAAAACTTTCCTTGGTGAAATTAATGGTCTCTGTATTTGGGCACTTGTTTCTGGATCTTTTTTTATCGGTGATAGTAGCTCATTATGAATTTTGTTTGGACTGAAAAAAAAATATTTAGTCAATTACAATTTTTTCTGCATATTTATAAATTGATACTGAATTTTAATTGTACATTTCAAGTAATATTACTTTGAGGATTTATTTTTATGGTTGAGGTAGAGAGACAAACATTCACTATTATGCAGTAATCTGCATCATAAATGTAAAATTGAAAATAAATATGAACAAACCTTATGGGAACATCCACATCAATTGACTTGAAGTCTTTAAGATTTCGTTTTTCACTGCTCTCTTTTAGTTGTTGTATACCTTTACTTATGCGATCTGCTGTCGCCTTCAGCTCCGCTAACCTAGAGCTACCTGCTAACCTTTTTTTGATATCCCCTAAACTTAATTCTTTACGAGCTGAAGTAACACAATTTGATCTTATAGATACGGAACTTTTTGCAACATTCGATGCATTAATTTTTTTAGCAAAAGCTTCTGGTTCTATTGAGGAACTTTGATGTCCAGGTGAAGCGGGTGTTTGAACAACATTTGCAACATCTTTTTCTGTATTTTTCGCTTTTAAATAGGCACTCTTCTGTTTTATATTACCAATGATCGCATCATTGTTTTTAAGTGCAGGTATCCTACGAGTTGATTGGACTGGAGAGTCATAAGTACGTTCTATATGTGCAATTTTAGTCTTCAAGTTCCCTAGATCTTCTGCAGCAGGTCTCTTTCTGCTATTAAAAAAGGTCGTTATGGTTGTTTGGGACATGATTCTTATTCGATATGTATGTAAATAGTAGGGTCTTCAACTTATAACGACGAGTTGTTCCACTTCCCTCCAAAAAGTCCAAAATGAAAAATAATTTGAAGTTGGAGAAAGTGTTGCTAGGTCGAAAATTTTGTGTACCTAGACTAGAACAGTGTTGTCGTCGTTATTGTAGCTCACATTCATCCCCACGCCACGCACGATTTTACAATTCCGCATAAATAATTAAAGAAATCACCACTCATTCCCCATTTCCAATAATAGTGTGATCAGAGGGCGGCAAATTCATATTTTACAGATGAATGGACTACTCATAATTTACTTAACTTTTCCTTAGAAACTTCACCCAGAGCACGGAGTAAGGCGTGCTGCACGAACATTATTATTCGCAAGCCGCTGTCTATCTCTTGCAACAGATCTATGCGCATGATTTGCAGGATGCTTTTCCTAATATTAGGTCCTTACATATGAAATTCGCGTTTTGTCATACTGACTTTGATTTGACACTGATCTGAAATATCTCTTCTTTGATTAAGACTTCCAAATTCAAATTTATAAATTCATTCCATACCGTACAGTGGAAAACATGAAATAACGGTACATTTATGAGTACGAGTTCTACCGTGGCAACAGTGTGATCTAAATTTTAGCAAACTAATTAAAAATTATTTGCGATCTTAACAATAGAAAATCGAATTACACACGAGTTAAATTATGACAAGGTCATAGATTTATTTGATTATTTTTTAACAATAAGCTCGAAGAGTAAAATTGTAATTTCAATTCACAAATGCAATAATATATTTGATTTTCATTTTTATTATGCATATTTTTATTTTAAATCCTATCCTGTGCTGTGTATAAAATATAATTACATCCTACACGTTTATGTCTATAGTAGGTTTGTTAACTTTTTTTGGTAAATCACGTATTTTGAAAATTACATTTGGATACAAATTACTGAGTAATGAAATATGCATAATATTTTTCGATCTTACTGACGTAATAATAAGGAAATAGGAACTGGTGCTTTTCACCAAAATGAAAGAACTTTAAAAAAAAAAGGGAAAAAATAACAAAATCATCTGGATCGACAAAAAATAAAAAATAAAGAAAGCAATGATCTGGAATCGCAAATAAAGTAAAAAAATAAGTGTGTAAATGATCCTGGCACGAACCGCGGACTTGTTTCGGGGCCATCCGATTACCGACCGAGCTATTATAACATTTTTTTTTTCGGTGAAATTTACCGTTGTATTCGAATGATATTTTTCATTCCGTGAAAACTGGGATAAAACGACATTTTCTAAAAATGAAACCTAGCCAGATCGATTTTTCGCCCACGAATCTACGCACATACTAAATTTCATGAAAATCGCTGGAGCCATTTCCGAGATATATTTTATATATATACAAGAATTGCGAAAGGTATAAGATATCTGCTGTGTACATAAGTACACACACACACACACACACTTTTTGTCAGAACTAATCTAATAGTATTATTCCCCAATTCCACACAATTCTCCATAAATATTATTCCCCAATTTATCCCCAATACGCAAATAATAATGATCGACGTAAGCGATCAAAAGGCGGCTATGTTTACGCGGATATCTTCTGTAACATGGAATAGAAAAAAACGGACCAAGTGCGAGTGGAACTCGCGCACGAATGGTTCCGTATCATTATCATATTAAAAGATCATGTCAAGAGAAAATGTTGTGTTTTTTTATAAACTATATACACTTGCATTATTTTTTGCATAATTTGAGTGCTTTTAGATAATGACATTATATAAACGAGGTAGATATTAGGTAGGACACTAGTGCACCGAACTGAGGCACTCAAATTAAGTAATTGCAACTCTATGGACTGCTATTTGTTTCCCTACCTATTATCATTACACAATTTCTATATTCCGCCACAAGTTCTATATTACAAAGAATTCGGGTAGTAATAAAGGGCGTCCGCAAAGAGTCGGATGTCGATAAGGCTAAGGTCGAAATCCGCACTCAGGGATACTCTGTGCACGCCGTTCGTCGCCTCAGGCACCCTCGAACCCGTGTCCCTATGGACATGGTCATGGTCGAAGGTAAGGCCATCTTCAACCTGAAGAGGGTCTGTGGGCTCGGTGACCTAGTTGTCGAGCCCCCGCGCAAGTCAGGATTTGTGACACAGCGCCACAACTGTCAACATTATGGCCACACGGCCAACAATTGCTTCGCTCACCCTAGGTGCGTCAAATGCTCCGGTGACCACGGCACGCCCGAATGCACGCGGCCCAAAGATTGCGCAGATCCACCGGATTGCGTAAACTGCCACGCTACCGGCCATCCGGCTAGTTACAGAGGCTGCGCTAAGGCCCCGAAAACTCCCGCGAAAACAACATTGCCCAAACCCGCGCCCGTGAAATACGTTCCCGCGCAAGTACCCGTCGTCAACGCCTGGGCGAAACCCCAGGTGGCCACGCAGGTGGCCGCGCAGGTAGTCGCACCCCCAGTCGCCTCACGACCAACGCTAGCCCAATCGCAGCCCGCCATTCAACAGGCGCCGAGGCCGCAGGTGCAGTCAACACCATCGGTATTTCGTTCGCCCAAATCGCGAACATCTGCGGCTTATTAGACCGCATTAATAGAAAAGAGCTCGCCGTATTGTCCGCTAAAATAGCGGCCGCCACATCTGGCACCGAGCGGTTCCAAGCCATTAGCGAACATAAAATGCTTGTAGAAGCCCTCTGGGCATTTACGAGCCAACCATAAAATCTAGTCCGCGCAATAAAACCGCGCTCCGCCGCGTCGTTAGTTAGAACTTATAAAAAACTTTTATGGAAAGTACAAACGCAGGTAGAACAAAACCTCGGGCTCTGGTTGTTTCGTATTTCAACGCAAACGGCATTAAGGGTCAAAGGGACAAAATCGCAGAATTCCTTCGCGATTATAATGTAGATATTTTTCTAGTGCAAAAGACCTTCTTAAAACCTTCTGTCCGCGATCCCAGAATCGCAAACTACAACATAGTCCGCCACGACCGGTTAACAAACCGTTTGGGAGACACCTTAATTTATTACAAACGGTCCTTGCAATGTAGCGCGCTCGACATTCCAGAGCTAAGCCATAAAGAATAGAGGCATCCGCGTGTAGGTTGGCGCTCACTGGCCATAGGCCGCTTGCACTAGTCTCAGCCTACCTCTCAGGGAACAAAACCTTATTACCAAGCGAACTAGATACGCTACTCAACTTAGGCCCTTCCGTGATAATTGCAGGAGATCCACAGCATCCCAAATAACAACGGAAAGCATCTCTTTAGCTTATCCGATAATTTAAAAACTTTAGCATAATCGCTCCTGCGACTCCCACTAGGTATCCTACGGTGGACAATTACCAATACGCGACACCGAGTATCCTAGATATCATGTTATTCAAGGAGGTCTCACTCGACATCGAGTCGATAGAGATAATCCATGAACTAGATTCAGATCACAGCCCCGTCCTGTGTAAACTGGGCAAGAACACCGGTGCGGTCCCTCCGACCAAATCCGTAGTGGACTGGCATCGTCTTGAGGTCAAACTCGGGGCCTTGGACCCCCAGGACATAGTCAACCTACTCCAGACGATACCTACGTTCGATGACGCAAATCGAGGGATAGCAAGTCTCCGAGAATCTATTACTTCCGCAGTCACAGACTCGGAACGGACAGTGAAACTGTCGGGCGACCGACGGTTTAACTTTCCGCCCGACCTGCGACTGCTAATTAGACAGAAAAATGCAGCCAAACGCGCTATCGACCGATACCGATCGGAATCGAACCGAACCCTACTTCGACGCCTTCAGCTAGAAGTCAAAGATCGTGTATCGGAACACCGACAAACCTCAAAGGGTCGCCTTCCACCGGAATGCGATCCTTTGAGTTCAGTGACCCCCGAAGATGTCCAAAACATTATTAAAAATTTAAAACCGAAACCCGCCCCGGGCCCAGATAATCTTAGTAACAATATTCTCAAAGCTCCCTGGGCCGATTATCTGTTTACTGGCAACCATTTTCAATACTTTACTCTCCATTTGCTCCTTTCCGGACGACTGGAAAGAAGCCACGGTTATCGGCATTCGCAAGCCGAATAAACCAGCCAACCAGCCAGCCCTCTAGTTATCGTCCCATCAGCCTCCTCAGTTGCCTGGGGAAGCTCTACGAGCGGCTTTTATTAAACAGGCTCAAAGAGCGAGTGTTTTCCAACGGCCTTCTGCCGGTGGAACAATTCGGCTTTCGAGCTAGACATTCCTATCCCGATCAACTATTCCACCTAACAGAACATATCCTAAAAGGCCTAAATCACCGTAAACATATTAGTAAAGGGGCTCTTTTCTTCGATGTCGCAAAAGCATTCGACAAGCTCGGGCACAACGGCTTGCTTTACAAGCTGTACACACTCAAAGTGCCAGATAGGCTCGTACACACCATCCGGGCCTTCTTGTCGAACCGCTCTTTTCAATACCGAGTTGAAGGCACCCTCTCCACAAGCGGCCGCCTCACGGCGCGCGTACCACAAGGCTCCTGCCTCTCACCTTTGCTCTTTACGCTCTACACGAGCGATATACCTAAAGACCCCCACGTCAATCTCGCGCTTTTCGCGGATGACACGGCGCTCTTTTATTCAGACCGCAACCTTAGACAACTTACCACTCGACTCCAAAGCGCCGCCGACAACCTCGGCGAGTGGTTCCGCAAATGGAGAATAGAAATAAATCCCGAAAAGAGTGTGGCGATTCACTTCACACGAAGTACTTACCCGTCACATCTTTATAATGGCCCTCGTCAATGCAGAAAGTTGGGGCAAATATCCCTTTATGGCCAACCGCTCCCCTGGGTGAAAAAGGTCAAATACTTATGAGTCACTTTCGACTCGCGTATGTCATTTACTACGCACATTAATAACGTTCGCAATAGAGCCGCGTTCGTCTCCGGCCGGCTACACAATTTAACTAACGCTAAAAGTAAAATGCCCTTAAGGCACAAATTATTACTATATAAGACCTGCGTACGACCTATTATGTCCTACGCATGCATGACCTTCACCCACACGCACCCTACTCGCTTGTACAAGTTGCAAATAGTACAAAATAAGTTCATCCGCCGCGCAACCCGTGCGCAGTGGCATCAACGCAACGTCGACCTGCACAACGATTGCAGACTCCCGAAGATTCGCGAATATTTTAAAGACCTGACCAAACGGTTCTTCGATAGAGCCGAACATCATCCCAACCCTCTGGTGGTAAGCGCAGCAAATTACCAACCCGACACAAACGCGAACGTCAACAAGCGTCGCCCGCGAAACGTCCTCATCGACCCGGTCGAGGAAGGGGACTTAGATACGTCGGACCCACCGCCGGGGATCCAGCCGGATAACACTACACCCACAGTTAGTGCAAC